ACAATCCAAACTTTGCTTGAAAATAGATAGCATTTATGACGTACTTAGTTGTGGAATAGCGGTTGTGTTGTTTTGCCTTCAAATCATTTCCGACTTACAGCAACCCTAAGGAGAACCTATCACAGGGTTTTCTTGGCAGGTTTCTACAGAGGGTGTGTGCCATTGCCATCCTTTGAGGCTGAGAGCGTGTGACTTGCCCAAGGTGTGTTTTCATGGCTGAGCAGGGATTCGAACCCTGGTCTCCACAGTCACAGTCCAATGCTTAAACCACTAGACATGCTGGCAATCTGAAGGGAACCATTATTCATACCCATGGGCCATGTTTTAAAAGTATTTTAAACACTTTTATCTTTTTAACTATATTTTATTCTTTTCCATGCAATCTGTTTTAATGTAACACTTTTCCATGTTTTTAATTGTACTGTTTTTAATCTTGTAAGCCACTTTGATCCCCGTTTTGGGAAATAATAATAATAATAATAATAATAATAATAAATTGGGTCAGGGTGCGGTGGAAAGGGGCCCATAATGGGCTCAGCTACAGATAGCATGATGACCCGAATATTTTCAAGCCTGCAAATATTTCAGGCAGATGTAGACACACCATCCTTCTTTTGCTGTTGTTGTGCAGCACCTTCAAGTTATTTCCAACTTACGGCAATGTTAGGGCAAACATATCATAGGGTTTTCTTGGCAAGAATTGTTCACAGGTGGGTTCGCCACTGCCTTCTCCTGAGGTTGAGAGAGTGTGACTCACCCAAAGATATCCAGTGAACACCCCCTTCGTTTTACAGTGGTTCCACCACATTCACTGGGGTTCGGGGTGAAGGACCCCCATAATGTGGGAGAACTGAAATAAAAGAACACTATTCTTTTTAACTAAGAAAACAACTTTCTAGGAATCTCCAGGTTCTCCAGTGCAACTCTATGGTCAACATCTGCCAGAATTTGATCCTAGAATCATGCTGGAGGACCTACCAATGCCTAGAGAAGGGTTTTCTCTAGGAACATCCACTGTATTTTCCGGCGTATAAGATGCCCCCCAACTTTTCCAGTTAAAATACAGAGTTTGGGATATAAGACGACCCCTCTTCCAACGCACACCAAATAATTTTTTTTAAAACATCAGATTTGAT